AGGAATGGAATTTGGGGATTTGGGGATTTCGTGAGAATTCAAAATGCATAGACTCATACGGTTTGGGTAAGTATATTTAAGATTTTCAATGAGCGCGAGTTTTAAGGTGTTTAGCAGTTCTGGACGGTTACTGAAGATTGAGTTTACTTATTTAACATTCTCTCTCCACTCTTCACGTAAAAAACGGGTAGGTTATTATAAATAAAAAAATCTTTTTTTTAATTGCTTAAAACCTGATTAGTGAAAAAATAAATATTAACCAGGAATAATGAAAATGGATTTCTAATAACAGGGGAGGGTGTAATTTCCTCTTTATCTTAATACAACTAAATATATTAATTAACAAAATAATTATTTTCATTAGGATTGAATAACATAATGAAATTCTTATTCTTGCTTATGAAATTCAAAGGACCGAATCATTAATAGTCAATATGACTAATCCTCGTACTTTAATAATTAATCACGCGTTTCTTTGGATGTCAATATCTTCACTAAATAAAACTTTTCCTCTATTCCTATTTACTTGATTAATTACGAGCCCAATATTATATGGTAATTGATCTCCTTCAAAAATTAATATTTCCCATCAAGTTGTTACTTTATTTAGGAAATTTATCTTATCTCTTAACCAATTTAATTCAAATGTAACTTAAAATTATCTAAAAAATAATTTTTCAATTAATGCGTGCACAAAAGTTAGTCAAAAATTATACTATTACTTAATCTTAAAAAAAAATCTAATAATTATTCATGGCTCCATAACTATCTAGACTTATAGTTTGATCCATGAACTATCAAAGAATGCTCATATAGGTCCAATTAACTATTGAAAGCAAAATAAATTGGCTTACATAATGACTCAACGTGACAATCCTATCAATCGCGTAATTAATTGTATGCCAGAGAAATTACAAAACTTGGGGATTCTACAACTAAATCTTAGGCAAGGGAGTAAGCCCTACTCATTATTGATTATGCCCTTGTTTGATGGCTATTATTCATAAAAAACAATGTTTTGAATCGTGATTTTTAAGAAAATATGTAGTTATAAAGTAGGGAAAAATTTTGAGTTTATGTGCAAAACATTTTATTACATGAATATGTGGTTAAAAATATTTTTTCAAATAATATGGTTGTCAAACGGGAGCAATACAGACAGAAAGTAAAGTACATCTTGAGGAAGGGGTCAAACCTAACCTTCCAATGAGCACAAAAAGACCCCGGTAATCGCCCCAGTCGAACAAAACCTTCCTATGTGACACAATGACAACATATTTGTTAGGCATATTCCCTTATTGATGATTGCAACGTGAAAATGGAAACCGAATTTTAAGGTAAAACCACTTTAAACTGCATTTTCTTTGTTTTCATGGAAAACGAATTTCTATGAGTTTGGTGAGTTTTTATTTACCAACTACCATGGAATTAGAATTCATTTCCACATTTACCTATCAAACGGACCTTTAGTATTTCGGTGTGACCCGAATTTTTGTTAAGTATTTGATTAGAAATACTTTTGGAGATGGGTAATTATATTACCACTACAAAACTTACTTGTTACACTATGATTTTAATTAATTTTTTATTTACTTAAATGACCCTAAATAGGATTACTTAATTATCCAAAATTTTATATAAATTATTAACATAAACATTTTTACGAAGACACCACAATCACTGCCTTTTATCCATGAATCACCTCCCAAAATCAAGTAATTAGAATAGTGAATCCAGATAGGTCGGCACCAAGGCGTTCAAGCTCCATTGCTAGGCCGCCTTCGATCACTGCCAACCTGCCAGATTAACGTAGAAGATCCGGAAGCAAAGAAGGCAGCCCCATTTTACCTAATAAACTAAATTGCAGAACATCTTCAATGGGCGGACCAAAAAAATCCAAGCCTTAATTTTCCTTGATTTTTGATCGTCCAACGTTAAACCTTGAACTCCCAAAAAAATTTCCTTAAATATTTAGAGTCAAATGTGTAGCTGTCACAACCCTTTTAGTAGAACTCACCTTCAAAAGTTAGCTATTAAGGGGAGGGTGTCCAAAGGATTATAAAGCCCACATCTTCAGCCTAAACTTTCGATGTGGGATTAGGTGCCCATGCACTCCAATGGAAACCATGACAAACCACCACGTTTTCGATTCGACATCCACGTCGAACAGGTGCCCATACACCCTAAGCTTTCCTCGAGTCGGAAGACGTGGCTGTGCACTAGCCGTTGACTAGTCCCGGACGAACACTGCAATGCCCGCGTCACCATTCGTGGTGTCTGCTCTGATACTAATGTCACAACCCCTTGGGTAGAACTCACCCTCAAAAGCTAGCTATTAAGGGGAGAGTGCCCAAAAGATTATAAAGCCCACATCTTCTGCCTAAACTTCCGATGTGGGATTAGGTGCTCATACACCCCAATGGAAACCATGAATATAGCATTAACTAGATTCGGTTTGTTGAGATTCCATTGAAATTCTAGCACAATAGACTGAAAACTTAAAGAATTGGAAACAAAAATGATGACCTTTGACGTGTTTATAGGGTGATGCGTGATTTTCCTTGGAGCCCAAAAATTATTTTAATTGTGGTGTAGTAAGTAAATTTTGTAGTGGTAATATAATTACCCTTTGGAGATATTTGGATTTGGTTGTTTGTTTGTTTTGGAGAAGTCTTAAAGAAGTAAAAGATTACAAAGAGTCAATGAAAACAAAAATTGGACCAAGGACTTTCTAGACAGGGACCTAGACGTCATTCTGAGCATTGTGGCGTTTTTTTGTCCTGAGACGGAGGCTTGCAACGCTTGAGCGCTGCTTTCAACGCCCGCTAGCCGCGAAGATTCCAGCTCGAGCTTTGGCCGCTCGCTAGGAGACAACTTTCACTGCTCGAGCAACAATGTTATTAGTTCTTGGACTCCTATTCAACCTCAAATATTTCATTATTAGTTTTATTCATTATATTGAGATTTCAACTTATATTTAACTCTTAATGTATTAATTTTTTTAATATGTTAGGGATTGTTACATTATAAATATATGGTGTATTACAAATATTTGTTGAGTGAGAACATAGCAAAATAGATGATCTTGTTTATAGACAGAAAGACTCGCAGATAGAGATATCTAGGAAAGAGTCTTGTAAGATCCAGTCTAATATATCGTAACTTCTTACTTTTTATATAGTGAATTTTTCACATCTGCTCATGATTTTTTACGTAAGTCTTGTGTTCTTATAATTGTTGTTATTTTCATCTTGTCCATTTTCCCATCTTTAAATTGGCTCAATTTCTAACAAGTGATATCAACCAACGTACCGAGTTAGATTGTTAACAGAAATGTTGCCCTGGTCAGGAATTTTTTACCATTTCCATCACTAGAATCCCTCTTCACTTCTAGATCATCATTTGAAAAGAGCCATAATTTTTGTTCATGTATAATTTTTTTTATTCGTACTCGATTTGTCTTAATTAGGTTAAGATTGTTACAAATACGGAAATATTTCCGTGAACTTTAGAAGATAAGAAGAGTATGAGTACACTGTCTCCATTGAAATCGAGCCCTTTTATGAATCCATTACGTAGCAACCTCTTCTCTTTGATCACATTGTATATTGCAAAGGGGATTTGAATCAGTGTATGCACAATTCCTAAGCCAGCCACTACATACCTGCAGCATTCATTTTAAGGGGAAAATTAGTCAACCATCTCGTCTAAAATTATATGTTTTTAATTTTTTGATCACCTGTAAGCAATGAGATCTGTGAAGTTAGTTCTGGAACCATCGACATTGTTGAAATTGTTGAGCACCATAAGTACAATGGAAGCAGCCAAGGCAAGGAGAGTAAACATCCCGAGATTAAGTACAATGGAAGCAGCCAAGTCATTTGATGCACAGACAAAATCAATAAGACATTTCTTTTGAATCGGTTTTGGTTCGATTAATTTACAATTTGAAGACGATTACAAATTTACAGTTAGAGGTGCAGACATTCAATTTGCGCTGGAAATATACATTAAGATTATTATCGTCTCATCTCAAATGGGAAATGCAAATAACGTTTCAAAAAGAAATCAAAGTTCTGCTTCCCATTTCTTTTGTATTGCTTATTTTTTTGCAAATTTGGCATTCAAATGAAAATGAAAAATAGTAAATTAAAACAAAATCCACATTTTTTAAGACAATAGATGAAGTCTGTTTCATCGTATTCTGTTTGTAAGAGAGTTGTGACATGAGACAAGTTGAAACGTTCCCTTCGTCAAAGAATATTTTCTTTATTCGTAGTCCAAAAATTGCCGAATGCGTTTAATTCTGAACTTGTGATTCATAATGTCCACATAAAGAAACAAGAATAGCGGAAAAGTTGAGCCATTCATTTCGTAAGTATCTATTCCATAAATTTCAATATGGCCGATTCCCATTCCAATCATAAAAATCATACACTCAATGGCCGAGGTACAAGTTCCTCAAGCATTGTTAAACTCTGGCCATATGATTCCAGCAATAGGCTTTGGAACAGTAGCATTTCCTCTGCCACCACCTGAACAACTAACAACCACATTCGGGGATGCGGTTGAGGCTGGCTACCGCCACTTTGACACAGCAGCCGTCTATGGCACGGAAGAATGCCTTGGTCAAGCTGTGGCCAGGGCACTAGAGCGTGGCCTCATCAAGAACCGAGATGAAGTGTTTGTTACTTCTAAATTGTCTACCAATGATGGTCATCACGATCTTGTTTTGCCTGCCCTCAAGGAAACACTCAGGTACTCGTTCTTAATATGGAAAAATCATTTTCCCCCAATTTCTGCCTTCAAACATGGCCTTATTATGTACCAAGAAAAGACGAGTATCTTCGTTACATACAGTTCTAACTTCTTTAATCAAGATTAAAATCGATGAATATATATCTATACTTTCATTGTATGAATATCATAGGAAACTGGGGCTAGAATATGTCGATCTTTATCTTATACACGCGCCAGTAAGGATTAAGCAGAGTGCTGAACATTTCCGAGTTACTGAAGAGGACATGCTTCATTTTGACATAAAGGAAACTTGGAAGGCCATGGAAGAATGTTGTAAATTAGGTTTAGCTAAGTCTATTGGTGTCAGCAACTACAGTTGTGCAAAACTCTTGAAACTATTAGAATTTGCCACCATCCCTCCTGCTGTTAATCAGGTCGAAATGAATGTCGCGTGGCAGCAACAAAAATTGCTCAAGTTTTGTAAAGAGAAGAACATTCTTGTTTGTGCGTGGTCTCCGTTGGGAGCAAATGGTGCTGTTTGGGGCAGCCATCGAGTGATGCAGAGCCCGATTCTTAAAGATATTGCAGCAGCTAAAAACAAGAGTGTAGCGCAGGTAGCTTTGAGATGGGTACATGAGCAAGGAGCAATTCCGATCGTGAAGAGTTTCAATAAGGAGAGGATGAAAGAAAACCTTCAAATATTAGATTGGAAGCTCACAGGCGAAGAAGTTAGTCGAATTCAACAGATTCCTCAGGCTAAAGCTTTTAGAGGCGAAGGCTATGTTTTTCCCAAGGGACAGTACAAATCTGTGGAAGAACTTTGGGACGGAGAAATATGAATTTTTCTTTCCCATTTATTTTATAGCTCTTGTTGTGCTACATGAATTCATATCCTATTTGATTGTGAACCCAATGGCAAACAAAAGGCAATGCAAATTGCTAGAAAATATTTCACCTTTTTAGTAAATTCATATCCTATTTGATTGTGAGCACAATTGCAAAAGGCAATGCAAATTGCTAGAAACTATTTCACTTTTTTAGTAAACTTGCATCTTTAATGTTGTGACAGTTGTAGTTTGGAGCTTGAATGAGATTGTGTGATTTTCATTTAAAACCCTGTTCGACATGTTAGAATAATTCTATTACGTGGACTTTCATTTGATTGCGAATTAAATTTTACGTGTTAGATGTATGGTTTGCAATGATACTGTGATTATTCCCAATATGTTAAGTGATCACTTGACCGTTGTACATCTTACGGACTTTATTCTTATAATATGATAATTTTAAATATATGAGTCGGAATTATGTAAACCCTAATTAGGGTTAGAGTCTGTAATGAGACGACTTTATAATTTCATATATAAAGGCTAAGTCTCCTCTCATCTCCAAATCGTTTATTGGCTTACCCCATTAACGACTAATTATTTTTTAGGAGTAAAGAGAAGAAGATGTAACTGGTAATATTCAAAAACAAAAGTGTTTTTAGCGTGTATGAATTTCAATCTATCAATTTAGAATATGTTATTCTTGTTCTTAGCATGATTATTGTCAAATTTCAACAATTGGTATCAGAGCGGGTATGCGGAATATTTTAAACAAAAAAAAAAATGTAGCTCCAATTAATTAAAAACCCGGGCTACTCTACTCTCTCTCGTGCATGTGTATTCCACCCAAGCAAAAACTCAGGCTAATTGTATGCAATCCTCCCTCTCTCTGTGTGCATATATGTTTGTATTGTCACCACAAATTGCAGCCTCCCCGTTTGTGTGTATGTGTATTGAAGCCGTGTGTGTTTTGTGTAATGGTATCTGGGTTTGCTTTGATTTTGGTATGACTGAACCTGTATGTTTAGCCTTGTTTTGTGTATGAATCGTCGCGAGCAGAAGCAGCAGCGTTGACGCCACTGCCAGCCAGTCAGCAGCGCTCGTTGCTGCTCATTTGGGGCTGCACCGGGGGCACTGCAGCCCAGTGCAGCCCCAGCAGTAGCGTGCGATGTTGCTGCAGTATTCCGCAACCGTGGCTGCTAGGCGACGTCTCCGGCGCGGAGATGACGTTGGACCGACGACGGCGCCCTATGAGGATTGTCTTGGGTTTTTTCCAAACGGTTTCAATTGAAGTTTTGGGGACGGGGGCTTCTCCTGCACTTTGTGAATTTTCGGGGGTTTTCCTGCAATTTAGTGAAGGGGTCATTTTGTAATTTTAAAAAAGGGGGCATGTGCTGTAATTTTTAAATTATGAGGCCCCTTTTTTCATAATTTTAACTTAGGGTCAATTTTGCAATTTTGAAATACTGAATTTGAATTTTTAAAAATGAGATTTTAAAATTGATCCAAATATATTTCAATTTCAACCTAAAATTATAATTTTATTTGACGACTTTATATTTTGTTGAAATATGTAAATGTCGTTATTATTAGTCTTTTTAAATTTCATATATTGAAATTTAGTTGTCAATTTCATTTTACGATCGCGCATAAATTTTGCTTTTCTTCAGTTAATGATTGTGATTATATTGCATTATTATTATAATTATTATTATTGAATTTTTTGTGGGCTTCAAGTATGTATTGGTGTTCCCATTAAGAGAAATATTTTGAAATAAAAGTGGGTGGTACCTACTAAAGCGACACACTCAATGTTATTTATTTGATTTTCTTTTTTTAAAAAAAAATTGAACGTTAGCATCGTAATTTTGAATTATTGCATATAGTATTTTGCTCAAATATGTTATATGTGATATTTTTGAAAATTTGCATAAAGCAATTAATGAGTTTACTTTGTCCAGAAATTTCCTTCTGTCCAAAGGTGTTGGAGTTTCAAAAATCAATCTGTTGTGTTAACTAACTTCATTATGTATTTTAAGAGTACTTTACAGTGTGTTATATTGTCAGCCCAAATGTGACTTTATAATGATGTATCAGGTTCTTACCGTAATAATATTCATTTGGTTTGACTTTAATTACGAACTATCTAATTAGTAGCCCATGTTAATTAGACGGATATGTTTTCATCTTTTGTTTGCATGCATTATGTTTGGATGATATTAAATGTAACGACGCGATCTTGCGTTGGAGTCGTCATCATATCGTACGTACTGTCCGCTTTGGGAGAGTATATGCCTATCTTACCCCTCAAAGCTTTCGAGCGAGGTTGGGTCGTTACAAAAAATGAGCGTTGAATTCTGGTACCCGACCTCACGCCGAAGTCGTCATCATATCTTACATATTATCCGCTTTAGGAGAGCCTATGTCATCTTGCCCTCACGGATTTTTTTGTCCCACATGATTCGAACTCAAAACCTCCATCATATGAGAGATTTAAGTTGAATCCTGATACTAATTGTGACTTCACCTCATCGTCCGTCATCCAACGACACGTTCTAACCTGTGAGGAGTAGGGAAAATGTGAGTACATGGGAGTACTTAGTTGGAACTTAAAAATATGGTGCAATCCCGAATAAAATATTTAAATCATGTATCAATAAAAATCATACAGTCATCATATCTTTAGAAACTGGTAAGAGCTCATATCAGATCATATCATTTGTATCGGAATGACCATAGCATTATATCATAAAATGTCATATCATATCTTTAATTTTCATAAGTATAAAATTTCATCAACATGAAATGAAAAATAATTTAAACGAGATAAATAACTACACCTCTTTTCCTGCCTTGTTAATTTAAATAACTTCTTGAAAGATGAAAACCCAAAATCACGTTCCAAACAATTTTTCTGCCTTTGCTTGTGTGTTCCGTGCGTAAATAAAGTTTTTGTGTGCGTTCCATATACTATACATGTGCCTACATACATAGGCAAATAATACCCTAGATAATTGGTGCATGAATGGAAAACGTGTGGGAGTGAAATAGGGTAATTGATAGGGATTTTGGATACTAAATTTGACCAAATTCTATTACTTTAAGATTCTCACACATTGTCAAATCAATCACAACTAAAAAATATAAAATAAAATAAAAACAAACAAACACATCATACACGTGGCACACTTTCTTTCTTTCCTTTAATTTATTATTATAATATTTTCTTTGAGGCCCTCAACGTATTGTCAAATCAATCCCAACTAAAAAATATAAAATAAAATAAAAACAAACACATCATACACGTGGCACACTTTCTCTCTTTCCTTTAATTTATTATTATAATATTTTCTTTGACAAAATCAATTATTAATTACCCCAAACTTGCCTTATACTTGTCGGCTATTAAGTTTCTAATCTCATCAATTAATCCAATTAAAATACAATTCAAACAATATCTTTCAACCTCGACATCTTTGGCTTCGCTAATCCAAATTCACTTTTTCTCGAGCTTAAAGTGCATAATTAATTACGATTTATCCAACGAGCCTAATATTCATATTTTTATCATACTCGGTCAAAATATAAATATATGACCCCAAATAAAAATTGAAATTGCTATATATCATTTTAGTCCCTAACTTTCAAAATATCAAGATATAGCACACAAAATTTAAATTCTATTATATGAAAATTTTCGGGGGCATTACCATTTCCACTCCTTAAAATATTTTCGTCATCGAAAATCTACCTTGGTTAATCGAAGAGTTCTGAATACTTGATTTTAAGCTCCCCTTCCTTCTCCCAAATTGACTCTTCAAGTCCATGATTTCGCCATTGGACCTTGACTAGGGGAACTTCTCTGTTCCTGAGTTGATGCACTTTTCTGTCCAAAATCATTGTCGGGATTTCTTCATATGATAAGTTTTTTTGTACCTCTAATGTCTGGTAGCTTACCACATGGTTAGGATCATGATCATATTTTCTGAGCATCGAAACATGGAACACATTATGCATTGCTGTGAGTTTGGGTGGTAAGGCAAGTCTGTAAGCCACACTACTAATCCTTTCAAGAATTTCGAAAGGTCCAACGAACCGTGGCTTCAACTTTCCTTTCTTGCCAAATCTCAATACACCCTTCATTTGTGCCACCTTTAGAAAAACTTTGTCATCCACTTGAAATTCCAAATCCCTTCTTCTGCATCAGCATAACTTTTCTGTCGGTCTTGTGGTGCATTTATTCTTGCTCTAATCTTATCAACAGCTTCAACTGTTCGTTCGATGATTTCAGGACCCTCTATTCTCTCCGACTTTATCCCAATGAATAGAATATCTGCATTTTCTACCATAAAGAGCTTCGTATGGAGCCATGCCTATAGTGGCCTGAAAGCTGTTGTTGTAAGCAAACTCCACTAACGGGAGATGTGTTTCCCAACTACCGTCAAGATCCAAAACACACGCCCTCAACATATCTTCAAGAGTTTGAATGGTTCTTTCCGATTGTCCATCCGTCTGTGAATGATAAGTAGTGCTAAATTTCAATTTCATCCCCATGACTTCTTGTAAACTTTTCCAAAATTTCGATGTGAATCGCGGGTCTCTATCGGAAACAATGGTGACTGGAACTCCATACAATCTGACTATCTCTCTGATGTATAACTGTGCGAGTTGTTCCATATTAAAATTTACCTAGATTGGCAGAAAATGGGTAGACTTCGTCAAACGATCAACCACTACCCAAATAGCATTGTGACCTCTTGCTGATCTCGGAAAACCTACCACAAAGTCCATCGCTATGTGTTCCCATTTCCATTCTGGAATATCCAACGATTTTAGTAGTCCTGATGGCCGTTGATGTTCTGCTTTGACCTGCTGACTGACAATATATTTCTCGACGAACATACCAATTCCTCTCTTCATGGTTGTCCACCAAAATGTATCTCGAAGATCCTGATATATTTTCGTACCGCCTAGATGTAAGCATACGGGATGGAGTGAGCCTCTTCGAATAT